TAATGTTGAATATACCGAGCATTTGAAAGTCTTTTACATGCTGTATTGTAAGGTGTAGGCCACTTCAAGGTGTTATTTAAGAGAAGTTTTTGTTCAGAGAACTTGGCTTTTTATTTTTATTTATTTATTAATTATTTTTGTGTGTGTGTGAGGAAGATCAGCCCTTTGCTAACATCTGCCAGTCCTCTTCTTTTTTTGCTGAGGAAGACTGGCCCTGGGCTAACATCCGTGCCCATCTTCCTCCACTTTATATGGGACACCGCCACAGCATGGCTTGCCAAGCGGTGCGTTGGTGCGCACCCGGGATCTGAACCAGTGAACTCCGGGCCGCCGCAGCGGAGCGCGCGCACTTAACCTCTTGCGCCACCGGGCCGGCCCCAGAACTTGGCTTTTTAAAAGCACAATCCTGTTTTGAGAAAGAGTAAAAGTAAAGTATTTAGAGTTGAAAACACTAAATTCTCATGCCTCTATTAAGGGCCAAATGGCCTATTTTTGGCCTGTGTAAAAATTCACTGTAACTGCATGAACTTCATTGCGAGTATTAGGTTTATGGAAACCCAAGAATTGTCGTTACCCAAGCCTTACTTCCATGAGTTTGTGGGGGGCTGTAATCATCAGTTCAGTATATTTATGACCTATGGCCTACGGCTTTTTTTTTTTTTAAGATTTTATTTATTTATTTTTTCCCCCAAAGCCCCAGTAGATACTTGTACGTCACAGTTGCACAGCCTTCCAGTTGCTGTATGTGGGATACAGCCTCAGCATGGCCGGAGAAGCGGTGCGTCAGTGCGGGCCCGGGATCCGAACCTGGGCCACCAGCAGCGGAGCGCGAGCACTTAACCGCTAAGCCACGGGGCCAGCCCCCTACGGCTTTTTTTTAAAGAACTTTTTGTTGTGAAATTATTTCAAACTTACAGAAAAGTTACAGGAATGTACAAATAACTTGCTTATGCTCTCTATCTCAAGTCACCCATTTTTAACATTTTGCCACATTTGCTTTTTCATTTTTGCTCTGTATACATACGTATTTTTTCTGAACCATTTGAAAGTGTTACGTGTATTATGTCCCTTTGCCCTTAATACTTCAGCATTTATTTCATAAGAACAAGCATATTCTTTTAAAACCACAGTACAGGTTTCAAGTTTAAGAAATTTAACATTGGTATACTACTTTTTAACTAACCTACAGTCCGTATTCTAGTTTTATCAAGTATCTGTTGTGATTGGTGTAGCACAAGAACTAGATTTTGTCGTGAACTCTGTTCCTACCAGTATCCCTTCTGCTCTCTAGACCTTTTCGGTGAGCCTTTATTTCCTCCTTGCTGGGGTCTTTTTTTCTTTAACAGCTTTATCAAGATGTGATTCACATACTATACAGTTTACTCATTTAAAGCGTACAGTTCAACTTTTTTTAGTGTGTTCACAGAGTTTTGTGCAACCATCGCTACAGTGTGATTTTAGAACATTTTGATCTCCACTAAGAGAAACCCCTCGCCCATTTGCAGTCACTCCCCACCCCCCACCCCTACCCCCCAGCCGTGGGCAATCAACCACAAAATCTACTTTCTGTCTCTGTAGATTTGTCTACTCTAGACTTTTCATATAAACGAAATCATACAACATATGGCCTCTGGTGTCTGGCTTTTTTCACTTAATCTAATGTTTCCTGAAGGTTCGTCCTTGTAGTATGTACCAGTACTACTTCCTTTTTATTTCTGGGTAATATTCCTGTATGGCTAGGTCTTATTTTAAATACATTGCTTTCATCTTCCCTAGATGCCATGAAAAGAAAAGAAAAGGAATCCACACTGTACTTGTAGTGAGATGTGTTGTCTAGTTGTGTTGTCTAGTGTGGCAAACAAAACACCTCCATGTGGCACTGAGGGGTGGCCACAGGGTTTAGTGTGGGCCACACAAACAGGAGTGTGTCTCAAGATCACTTAAAAGGGCCTAGATTTATACCTGCCAGTAAGGAGAAGATTTTATGATTAGAAAATAAGACTATTGTCTCCCTAATATTTTGAAGTAATTATATAAATGGAACTGAGGTCTAGTTTACTGCCTTTTTTGTGAGCAGGATTGGCCCTGAGCTAACATGCGTTGCCAGTCTTCCTCTTTTTGCTGAGGAAGATTGGCCCTGGGCTAACATCTGTGCCCATCTTCCTCTATTTTATATATGGGACACCGGCACAGCATGGCCTGATGAGTGGTGTAGATCCGTGCCCAGGATCCAAGCCTGTGAACCCCAGGCCACCGAAGCGGAGTGCGCCAAACCTAACCACTGCGCCACCAGGCCGGCCCCATAGTTTACTACTGTTTTTAATAATAGCTTTATTGAAATATTATTCACATACTATAAAATTCATCCTTTTAAAGTATACAGTTCAGTCGTTTTCAGTGTATTCACAGTTCTGTGACCATCCACCACTATGTAATTCGAGAACATTTTCATCACGCCAAAAAGAAACGTGTACCCATGAGCAGTCATTCCCGATTTCCCCTTCCTCCAATCCCTGGCAACCACTAATCTTCTTCATGTCTCTATAGGTAAGTATTTTATTCTTTTTCATGCTGTCGCAAAAAAAAAAGCAATTGATTTTTATTTCCATTTTCAGATTGTTCATTGCTACTTTGTGGAAATACAGTTGATTTTTGTTTATTAAACTTGTAACCTGCAACCTTGCTGAACTCATTTTTCAGTTATGGTAACTTTTTAGTGGATTTCTTAGTATTTCTATATATAACATCAAGTTGTCTGTGAATAAAGATAGTTTTACTTTTTCCTTTCCAATCTAGATACCTTTTATTTCTGTGTAATTGCTAGCCTACTACTTTTTAGGCAAGCTCTTAAAAGTACAAGTATTCTTTATTTTCAAGCAATTGAAATATTTTATAAACATCCAAAAATTTGCAGAAGAGAAGCTAAGATTCAAAATTTTATTTAGTTTGTACATTCAGGGAATCTATATGATGAAAAGTTACATTGATCTGAAGAAGGAAAGAACAGGAAAGAAAAGTACAAATGGATAAAACTTTAACATTATCCAACATGCCAGGGGCCAAAACCTCAACTTAACCTGTTTTGCACCAAAAATTTCAGTACGGTTTTGGGAACTATTTCTCTTTGGGAAAAGTGGAAGTTGGTAGAAAGAGAATTGGCAAGATTCACTTTATTATTAGCTTTATAGGAATATCTTTTTCATAAAATGAAAGATATCTTTATCTTGCCTTCAATGTCATAATGAAGGTAAAACATTATTGAAGTTCTTTTGACAATGATACAATTCCTTGTGAGCCAGATCAACTTAGAATACTATCAAATTGGAGGTACTAATTGCCAAGTAAAGAAAAATCCTGGGGCCGGCTGGGTGGTGCAGCGGTTAAATTTGCATGCTCTGCTTTGGCGGCCCGGGGTTTGCGGGTTCGGATCCCGGGCGCGCACCACTGCACTGCTTGTCAAGCCATGCTGCGGTGGCGTCCCATATAAAATAGAGGAAGATGGGCACGGATGTTAGCTCAGGGCTGATCTTCCTCACAAAAAAAAAAGAAAGAAAGAAAAATCCTTAGTAAGGAAATTAGAGGACTGTAATTTAACAATATAAATAGATACTATGAAAATTAAGCCATTGAAAAGAATAAAACGCCTCTAAAGAGTGTTCTATACGATCATTTTAGGATTTTCTTAGTCACTTTTGATCAGAAACCATATTTAACATGTTTTTTTTTTAAAGCACATTCGCAAGGCTGTGGAGAAATTGGAACCCTTGTGCATTGCTGTTAGGCATGCAAAATGGTCCAGCTGCTGTGGTAGATAGTATGGCAAATTCTCAAAATTAAACCTAGAATTACCGTACGATCCAGCAGTACCACTTCTGGGCATACACCCAAAAGAATTTAAACTAGGGGCTTGAACAGATATTTGGACACTCATGTTCATAGCAGCATTATTCACAGTAGCCAAAAGGTGGAAGCAGCCCAAGTGTCCATTGACAGACAAATGGATAAACAATATGTGGTGCATAACTACAATGGAGTATTATTCAGCCTTAAAAAAAGAAGGAAATTCTGACACATGCTGCAACGTAGATGAACCTTAAAGACAGTATGCTAAGTGAAATAAGCCAGTCACAAAAGGACAGGTACTGTATGACTCCACTCATATGAGGTCCCTAGAGTAGTCAAATTCATGGAGACAGAAAATAGAGTGGTGGTTGCCAGGAGGAGCGGGGAATGGGGAGTTAGTGTTTAAAGTGTCTGAAATTTCAATTTGAGAAGATGAAAAAGCTCTGGAGACGGATGGTGGTGATGGTTGCACAACACTGTGAGTGTACTTAATGCCACTGAGCTGTGCACTTGAAAGTGGTTAAGATGGTAAAAATTTATGTTACGTATTTGTTACCACAATAAAAAAAATTAAAGAGAAAAAGCAGGCGCAGTATTCTCTGCGAACTTGTGATACTAGGCTTTGGCTTTAAATAACATTCATCTGGCCCATGAAAATTATTAGATTTTTCTATTCCTTATATTCTCATTTAGGGCTCTCCTACAATAGGTAAAGATCTAGAAGATAGGATTATTATAAACAAGGAGTAAATCCGAAAGAAATACCATCCACAGAAATTGCTGAACCTGTTTCTCAGTGCATCTTGTTATCATGAGGACGTTGTTCCCTGTGTCAGGCTCTTTGCCAGATGCTCCTCCTCCCTTGCTAGGATTTCAGTGTGTAGTGCAAACCCTGAATGTCTTGCTCCTGCAGGAACAAGGGAAAAGGCTTCTTGAAAACATGTCGGACTGAGGGCTTTTGAAGCATGTTTTTTCATTGTATTAATAAAAGCAGAATTCTTCAGTCTTCTGATTCTGTATTGTAACATAATCAGATAAGGTCTGAGGTCTTGTAAACGTTCTAGTCTTTATTCAGGGAACTCATGTGAAGGCAGACGCCTCATCATTCTGCGGCCTTGCCTAAGGATTTTAAAGATGCATCTTTTCTTACTATTCAGGTCCATCTTGGAGAAGGAGGGACCAAAGTCACTCTTCAGAGGCTTGGGTCCAAATTTGGTTGGAGTCGCGCCATCAAGGTAAGCATTAAACTTTCAGCCAGCTCACTGCATACAGTGTATAACATCCCAAGTCCTTTCTTACCAAAGGGCAATACTGCTAGATGGCCAGTTTCTTTTTCTGTGTGGGATTTGCCTAAATACGTCTGACATATAGAAATAATGATAACTGTTGGTGTGTCTTTTAGTATGTGTGTGTAAGAAAGAGATTATTTTATTAAGTTGAGAATTAGTCTGTTCTCATCACCTCCAGTCTTCTCTAAGTGTTTGCTGCTCTGAGTATGGTATGTGCCAGTGTGGTCCCGTTGGCAGCACTTGGGAGCTTGTTAGAAATAGACGATCTGAGACCACACCCCAGACTTACATCAGAATCTGCACTCTAACAAGGTCCCCAGGTGATTCCTATGCATTTGGAAGCACTAATCTGAAGGAATTTTAAAGGTTTCTAGGCTTTATTTTATATAAAACAACGTCCTCATTTTTGTTGCAAGGCTTAATTCTCTTTAAGGCCTATTTGAATATACAGAGCTGCACTGTCTCAACACAGTAGCCACTGGCCACTTGGGGCTGTTGAAATTAATTGAAGTTTAAAATTCAGTTCCTCAGTCTTACTAGCCATGTTTCAAGTACTGAATATTCACATGTAACTAGTGGAGATCATAGATACAGAACATTTCCATCTCTGCAGAAAGTTCTCTTGGACAGTGCTGATATAGGAGGTAGATGTGTGGATACAGAAGTGAATAGGTGAGTGTGTGTGTGTAGCATATCTCTGAAAAGTAGATTGCCTCCTGGGAGGGGAGCCGGTGACAGGGTAGGATGTTTACATTGCTCCATGTAATACTCGAATAGACTCTAAAGAGAATTAACCTTTATAACGAGAATGAGCATGTTTTATACTGCTAGATGAAGACTAAAAGCTTCTAGAATTCTTGCAGATCTGTGCTCCAAGTTATACACCTGAGGATGTTGTAAAAATGCAGATTCTTATTAAACTCTTTTGTTCCTTTAGAATATTGTAGCATATGTGTATAATCTATTTAAAAATTAGAAAGTACTAGTCTGTGAGATTATATGGGGTATGCGTTATTAACAGATGGCAAGCATACTACGCATATGTAGTAAATAAAGAAAATTGAGCCGTATTGGCTTGTGGACAGTGCTAATTTGGTAAGATTTGTTAATCTGATGTAGATTCCTGGCTACCACACCCATTTAGGGCAGTTGGGACCTATAAAAAACAAAAGACTGTTTTATAACATGATAATGATAAGTAGTCAGGATCCTAAATTGAATATTCTGTGATTGATCCATTGGCCAGCCAGAAAAAAAAGCATTTCCCTGGCATTGATGGTGAACGAGCAGGGAAAATCCCAACCAGCCCCTACTCCCCAGCCCCAACAGAGAAGACAGAAGGGGGAAAAGCAGGCAGAGATGGAGAAGAGAAGAACACAGAGCCATGGAGAGGCCAGACGCCACCTACAGGGGTCACTTTTGGGGAAGGGGGCAGAGGGAGCCCTTTATGAAAACATGTATGATGATTGCTCCTGTGTGATCCTGAGTCATCAAAGAAAAAGCTCAAATTATATTTGACATACTCATTTTGGTGTAAGGCAGGACAAGTGTGGTATATTTTAGAAATATTACAGATTTTTCAAGTTGGTGCTTAAAGGATTGCATTTATCCAGAATGAAGAACATAAATGGACTTTGTGTGTATATTACCAAAATCTCATTTTCCTCAGTTATTGTGACCTCTTCCATCCATCATCACTGAATACTTTCTGGAAGGACAGGCAGGAACTTCCTGAAGGTGCTGCAGCAGGTTTTGGTTTTAGCATGGATAAGGTCAAGCTTTTGGTTACATGTTAGCTTCTTTCCCCTATTATTTTCTGAAATGTTTCAGAGGTTGCAGAGGGACATATATATCATATGGTGCCGTATCGATGTCTTGATAGCGTTCTCTCTTTGTTCTAACAGGGCTGTGTACTTTGCATGTTACTCCAAAGCCAAAGAGCAGTTCAATGGCATTTTCGTGCCTAATAGCAATGTTGTGCATATTTTCTCAGCTGGCTCTGCAGGTATGTCCCCCTGTTGGGTAGAGATCAGTTTCTCACTTTCCTAAACCATATGTTGTGCCAAACAGCTTTTTCCAGGAACTAGAAATTAGCTCTCTGCTTCTTTTGCATCTAAAATCGTTTTTCTAAAGCTTTATATTAGAACTGATAAAATATAAGTGAGAGCAGTTTGTAACTTGGTTCTGTTTTCTTTGACCACTAAAGCTTTTTATTCTTCCTCAAAATTTACATGTTCACAATTTGCATGCATGCTACTGGTTAGTGTTATGTTTCTTTTAAAGGAATATTAATGTTTTCATGTCTTGCTGTTTCATTAAGGTATTTTCTAAAATTTGACCTGCTTTTTTTGTGACTCCCCACAGTGTCCAGCATACCACGTGTACAGTTGGCACTTCTGTCCATAACAGTTGGATTCTGTGACCAGGGCTCAGGACCTGGAGTGGAGTCCTTTTAGTAGGGCCGGGGACAGCTCAGATAGATTCTCTTCTCTTCTGAGGGAGTCATTCCACTTACTATAGAAAATTCCTAACAGGATTTTTTCCCCAGGAAGTACGTGGCAAGAAACATAGATTGCTGAGAGAAGGCTGTGTCTTTTTAGATATTGTTTTATGTCTGTTTAAATAGAAAGGTATTTTAGAGAACTTAAATTGGCATTTTATGAAAAATGTCCACCTTCTGCCAACCTGTTAGGTGTGGGCACCAGTTTTGTCTGCCTCTGTTACTCCCAAATAAAAGTACGAGTAACCCATCTGAATAGTTACAGATAATCATTACTGGACCCCAAATAGAAAATAATGTCAAGCAAAGCTGCTTCAGACAAGAAAGGCATTTCTACTGACTCTGGAGCTCTGAGAAGGAAATGTGGAGTGTCGGAACAGGTCCATCTTCACTCGCTGGACCAATAGTGAGCAAACCATAAGCGAAGAGCTGCTTGTCAGTTTTGTAACTTTTGAAAAATTAACTTAGAAGAACCCTTGGTAAATAAATCAGACCTGGAGGGAGGTTTTTAAACCACTATCTATGTTCATAGTATCTGGTTAATCTGCTTAGAACTATGGAGAGGAGGAGGTATTCCAGAAGACTCCTTGTATGAGGCTAATACCATGATATTGCTTTTTTTGGTTGGTCTGGAATGATAAGCAGTATTAAGACGGGGAAGACCTACTAAAAAATGTTTCTATAAGCAGATTAATCTTAAAACTTCATTTTTCTGAAATGATTAGGTATTAAAACTCAGTGTGAGTTTGGCTTCAGATAAATGGAGATTTGGTTCCTTCTATTTTAAGTTAGATGTACAGTAACCTTTTGGATTAGATGAGCAACTTTTTAAAACAAATTATTTCTGGCCCTGAAGCTTATAAATTGAGTTTTAGAATAGTTTCTTATTTACCATAGGAATCATTGAACAGAAGTGTCAGCAGCACCATCTAGAGGCTGGAAGGACTAGACAGGGCTCCAGAAAATGGGGAGATTTTTTTTTTAGGTCCAACATACCAATAGATGTTACAGGGCTATAGCCGCCATCTGCAGTATAGAAATGTAACTCCTCCCTACTGCCTATTTTTACTATTAAGCTATTGAAATTCTCATTTCAGAGTTTATCATATGGGATAGACAGCTTTAATAAGCATTGACTGTGTTCAGCAATGGTATTTTCTGTTCTTTTTTTTCTAGCTTTTGTCACAAATTCCTTAATGAATCCTATATGGATGGTGAAAACCCGGATGCAGCTAGAACGGAAGTAAGTTATTTATTATTTCTTCCTTACTATAAGAATTCTTGGGGATTTTTTTCTTCCCCCAATTCCAGCTGTGGAGTGAGGTATACAGAGTCCTTAGCCATCCCCGCCCTTGTTTTTTCTGAATATAGGCATATGTAGAAACTCCTTTTGTTTTGAGATTCGTGCTGCCAAACATTGTGGGGAGACAAGGGCCAACAGAAATAACACACAAGGGGAGGTCGGCAGTTCGCTCAGTTGTGCCCCTGATCTGCAGTCCTTCTTCCTCTCAGATAGTCGGTAGGTCTCTGCTCTCAGCAGACCCCACCCCTAGGTGGAGCACTGTGGACTCTCCTCCAGATGACCGCTCCTTCATGTGGGAAGATGACAGTAAGGGCAGAACAGCAAATGCCTTCAGGCCTCAGAATAATCATTTTAATCTCGAAGGCCCTCAAATATACTAGATTTCTGCCTTGAAACTCTAGCCAGGGGTGCTTAACTTCTTTCATGCTGTGGATTCCTTTGGCAGCTTGGTAAAGCCTGCAGGCGCTTGCTTTTTTTTTATTTATT